CGGTCTCTGCACAATTCCCCCACCCGCAGGGGCTGCCCCCTCAGTTCCTATTGGCTCCCTTTCTCAGGTTAGAGGCAGCGTGCAGAGCTGCCTGGCCACATTACTGCCTAGGAGCTGAGGGACAGGGATGTCAGCACTTCCGGGGAGGGACCGAGCCAGATAAGGAGCCTGCCAGCCCCACCACCCCCAGCCCCAGTCGGGGTGCCAGGTCGTGTGCTACTGCCCTCACTGACCCCCCCCTCGAGCTGTAACTGTAAAATTCAATCTGCAAATCATTTTTCCTATCATTCTTACTAGCACATATTTTAAACTGATGAGTGTTTATCAGGGATTATTTAAACAGATATTCATAAATTGACCATTTAACTTCAGGGGGATCAGAAGATGCAGTGTGTATCTTATGATATTACAACATTTGGATTTGGTCAAAAGAGCTTCTGCTATTGGGGATGGAGGAGTCCTTTAGGCTTATATGTAAAATAATTATCATAAAATAAATCTTTCACACATGGGTGCTCTTTCAGGTATTAAAACACTCTGCTTTCTGATCAATGATCCAAGACCAAGGTTTAAAAAAGTTTACTAGTCCTGAAAGCATATGTATTACACTGCTTTGACAATGGGTGTAGCATTGCTTGTTCACAAAACATTCATATTTTACCATTACAGTATATTTATTGTTGGCTTGCTTTCTCCTGACTTTCTTTGCTTCTGACATAACTAGAACCCGAAATTAATCTATTATGGCGTTTGAATGCCAGGTTTTCTGAAATGCTAGTGATCATCAATTGAAGTGTTTAATTCAGAACCATCAAATTCTGAATGTAGGCAAACAGATATTACATTGATAAGATTTATAAAAATACCTATATAGTAATAAGTCACAGTTATATAGGCTATACTCCTCCCTCCCCTTTCCTCCTATTGTTTGTGATTCACTTGTCACATCTTGCCTTAGATTGTAAATTCTACAGGGATGGGACTGTGTCTTTGCAAAGCACCTACTACAAGTGGTTTGAGCATTGGCCTGCTAAACCCAGGGTTGTGAGTTCAATCCTTGAGGGGGCCATTTAGAGATCTGGGGCAAAAACTGGGGATTGGTCCTGCTTTGAGCAGGGGGTTGGACTAGATGACCTCCTGAGGTCCCTTCCAACCCTGATATTCTATGATTCTCCATGATATACTTTGTGAGTGAGTTCCTTTAAATGGGGCCCTGATCCCCATTGGAGCCTCTGGGTGCTACTGTAATATAAATAATAATTTAAGATACAGATGTTTAAAGGAGAAAAGTGTAAAACAGACAGAAGACTTCCCCATTTCTTTCAGTAACAAACTGTGAAGTAAAAAAAGAAAGAATTTGTTTTGCACTGGAATGGAAGGAATGTTTCCAAGTGTTAGATGCTGTTTAGGACTGATTTTCCTTGCAGGCAAAGCAGAGTACAACAAATTGAGGATTTTATGAAAACTCTACTAAAAGAATCCTTGGTTTTTTTCTCTGGGTCATTTGTCAGTTATTGTGATAATGTAAATTCCTCAGAAATGGAGAGGCTTCACCCCCACATAGAATCTCAGAGTTGGAAGGGACCTCAAGAGGTCATCTAGTCCAACCCCCTGCTCAAAGCAGGACCAATCCCCAATTTTTACCTCAGATCCCTAAATGGCCCTCTCAAGGATTGAACTCACAACCCTGGGTTTAGCAGGCCAATGCTCAAACCACTGAGCTATCCCTCCCCAACATGTGGTAGACTGAACCAATCCTATTGAAATTCACAGCATTTTAATATTACTGAGATGTTAAATTAAGGTAGGTTATGCTTCTAGATATTTATACAAAAGATCAAAATACTAGGTTTTAGGATATCTCCTGGGAGGAAACCCTTGATATTTACATTTCAAGATCATCAGAAAGTATAATGCCATTAAAAGCAGCATAGATCACAAGTTGCTTTTATATTCTGGATCCCTATCCCTCAATTTGAGCCATAAATTACCCCTATAGGATACAGAAGAGACCATATTGCAAAAGCAGAGCATCTGTATATATGAAAGTGCATAATAAACAGAATAAACTATTTTAAATCAGTAAGCTGTATTTTTCCCCCCAACTCTACTTATGGGTTTAATCAAATCTTGGACCCAAGCAACACCCATTTACAAGCATTCTAACAGAGCTGAGAATCTCTTATGTGCAGCAGTACTTTTGGCTAGTTAAAAGATTGCCATAATTTTTGCCTGTATTTTGCATAACCGAATTTACCTTAGTGATGGAAGGTATGTTAGATTTGTCTTTCAGAATTCTGAAGAAGTTTAAAGTATGTTTAGTGATTTTCATTTGTTTAGTTATTGTTAGTTCCTCACACATACAAGGAAGGCATCAAATTAGATTTTTTTTAATTATTATTATTATTATTATTATTTATTTTGCTCGCCTCTTGAGCTTTGTCATTTACTGGAGCAGCTGGAGAACTTAAAGCAAACAAAAGTCCAGTGCCTCACTATTTCTACTTCACGTGGTATCTAGTCTGCAATTACACTACATGGGGATTTGTTTAAAAAAGGATTTACTCACTATTTTGAAGAAATACAGTCTACATAAGAATAGTAGACTGTATTTCACACAGTAAGACCACTAATAATACAATTATAACAAAATAACCAAAAACAAGTCACAATTTTTGGTCAATCAAAAATTCAAATAATTGCCCCCCTACGGAACCTCAGACTGGCAGCGGGCTGAGCGGTGCCAGCAGCCGGAACCCCAGACCAGCAGCGCGGGTGGCAGACGGAACCCCAGACCGGCAGCGGGCTGAGCAGCTCAGCCGGCTGCCAGTCTGGGGCTCTGTCCGCCGGCCCCTGCCAGCCAGGGTCCTGGCCGCAGGCCCCGCTCAGTTCACTGCCGGCCCGGCGTTCTGCCCATTCAGGCCGGCAGCGGGACCCTGGCTGGCAGCAGAATCCCACTAAAAATCAGCTCGTGTGCCGCCTTTGGCACGCGTGCCACAGGTTGCCGACCCCTGCATTAATTTAATACCAGCAGTGACATCTTTCATGCAGAATCTTTTCATGTATTTGACAGGTTTCAGAGGAACAGCCGTGTTAGTCTGTATTCGCAAAAAGAAAAGGAGTACTTGTGGCACCTTAGAGACTAACCAATTTATTTGAGCATGAGCTTTCGTGAGCTACAGCTCACGATGAAGTGAGCTGTAGCTCACGAAAGCTCATGCTCTAATAAATTGGTTAGTCTCTAAGGTGCCACAAGTACTCCTTTTCTTTTCATGTATTTGATGCATTCATTGCCAAAAAATGATATAACATCATGACATCATAATTTGTCACCCACTGTGTTGCATATAGGCTTTTTTAAAAATAAAACTGTTTTTGCATCAAGTTACTGACTTATGCAAGACTAATTAATGAAAACTGAAGTAATCCTGATTTTTTCCATAATAGATGGCAACCCTAGTAGTGGCTGCTCTTTATCAAACATTCTTAGTGTGAGTTTGCTGAAGAGGCTGTGGAATGGAATAAACAATTTATCCCTTCAGCTTCTTTTCTTTTAAGGATACGCCTACACTACAGATGCTACAGTGGCATATCTACAGCACTGAACCTATGCTGCTGTAATGCATACGGTTCCTACATCGACAGAAGGGTTCTTCCAATGTGTAGTTAATCCATCTCTCTGAGAGGCGGTAGCTATGTCAACAGAAATTTCATCGACCAAGCCATGTCTCCACTAGGGGTTAGAATTTTTTCACAGCCCTGAGCCTGGCAGCTAGGTGAATCTAATTTTTAAGTGCAGAGCAGGCCTAAGTCCTTTGCTTTGCAAGTCCATCACTTCATGCTTGACAGCCCCGGTTAGTGAGTTATTTTTGAGTAGCTTCCTAAGAAATGGGATACTTGGCCAGTTGGATGAAGTTCATGTAAGGTGCCTCCAAGTTGCATCAAATATCATTAGAGTAAGAACTTTGTAGGTGGAGAAGGGGGTGAGGGAGTAGTATTTTTTCTGCTGTGGAGACAAAGTAACGGAAGTACATGCACAAGATGTAGATGATTGACAGCTTCTACGGCACCATAGCTCCAGGTCCTATTAGTTATTGTAGAGATAGGAACTATCCTAAGGAGAACCAACCTTGGCAGGTATAAACCCATGAAAATGGGAATGGGAATGTTACTACTGGCATTATACAAAATTCAAGATCTCCTTTTTTGTACTTATTATTACGAAATTTCAAAGGGAAAGGCAAGATATAGCCCAAATATTTTGCTTCTAACAAAACGAGTGAATAATTTATTATTAAAACATTGATTTACTAGCAGTGCAAATTTTTGGCACAGCTCTAGTTAATAATATTACTGACATATCAATCAAAATGGGAAATTAAGCATGGACTAGAAATCAACTTTTTTTCTGCAATATATTTTAATTCTTTCATTACAATCTTGGTCAAAATCTCCCTATTTTGTTATCTGCAGGAGTGTTTTTTCATAAAGTATCCAGTAGGTCCAAAGCATAATATTTGTATATTCTAAAATATATTCTCAGTACTGCTCTGAACTCTAATATGCTGCACCCACTCACAATCCTCACTCAAATGATTGATAAATATACAGTGTAATTGGCAATGTTTACTATTCAGGGCCTAAAAATCAAACAATTTTGTTCAGTCAATAGTACAACATTCATTTGAAGTGAAACAGATTCATTTGAAGTGAAATACTACGTGGAGGCTTTCTTGTGCAGTTATAATATTTTTCCTTTTTCCCCTCTATACAACTTCAGGGGAGAAAATGAGGAACTAAAAATTAAACTGGCTCCAGACTAAGAGAGTGCAAAGGTTCTGGTTGACAGCTAGAATGTCTCCTAATTGCAGACATTAGAACGCAAGCCACGTGATCCTCCACAGTACAACTCTGGTGTTAATATTCCTATTACCAGTGGTTTTCTTAGTCCAGAATATAAAGGGAACAGATTTTTTAAAAAAACTAAACATAGCACTTACCAAGTGAACATAAGGCACAAAGTATCCAAAAAGTGCAGCGGGGATTCCAAAAGCCCAGATTCGATAACCCGTAACCTTGAAAATGGAGAAACTGAAAATCTTCTTTGCAGAAGGAAATCTCAACATGCCCTTCTTTCCACCCTCTTTGTCACTTGCACTGGAAATGAGGGGTTTGTAACTGAAGCCAGCCAGGAAAAGAACAAACATAAGGATGCACAGAACCCTTAAAGTGTTGTACAGGCCAACTGAATCAATCAACACTCTCAAAAGAAAAGGCAGTGACACAGTGAACAAGCTGCTGCCGGCAGTGACGATGCCATTCACTAGTCCAAGGCGTTTCTTGAAATAGTGCCCCAGAATGACCAAGGATGGCTGGTATGCAAATGAACAACCACAGGCAAATAAGATTCCATAGGTGAAATACAGAGGTTCAATGGAGCTATATCAAAAGAAAAAAAGTTTGAAAATTGCATTAGTATGTTACATACAACACTGTGAATGCTCATATTCAACAGTTACATATAAAAGAGTTAATTTTCCACATATGTGATTGCAGAATAAAATATTAATATAATTTATACTTATTTACTGTAGAAGTAAATTCTATCTACTCAAGCATACAATAGTTAAGTGGGAAAATCAGAGAATATTTCATACTCTCATTGATGAGATCTGATTGAAAGTACACTTAATATTCTTTAAGAGATAGTCTCAGGTCAAGTTAGACCAAAACATAAGTTCAGTAACATCTGTGGCTTGTTTGTTTTTTAAATCCAGCGAAAATAATACTTTGTTTGGATTTAAGCATTTCCCTACTATGTTTGCAACCCAAATTTTGCAACATTATGATAATGCTTGAGGGCCAAAAAGTGAATCGGATGTCTATTTTTATGGTCCACAAGGAAAGTACAATAATGCAAGAAGTAAATGAACACTATTAATTGTAAAAACAAAAGGAGTCCTTGTGGCATCTTAGAAACTAACAAATTTATTTGGGCATAAGTTTCCATGGGCTAGAACCCACTTCATCAGATGCATGGAGTGGAAAATACAGTAGCAAGTACATATACACAGTACATGAAAAGTTGGATTAGCCTTACCAAGGAGGGGGGTCAGTCTAACAAGACAATTCAATTAACAGTAGAATACCAAGGGAGGAAAAATCACTTCTGTAGTGGTAATGAGGGTGGCCCATTTCAAACAGTTGACAAGAAGATGTGAGTAACAGTAGGGGGAAATCCTCATTGTTTTTGCTGATACAGACTAACACTGCTACCACTCTGAAACTATTAATTGTGAAGAATAAAACTAGAAAATTATTTCAAATTTTAGTATAATGGGTTATATATAACTGGTCAGATTTTGTTAAGTATGATTTTTCACCTGACAACATCCCTTTAACCATAACCAAATATTCAAATTTTTTTCACTTTTTTACATCAGTGTTTTCCAGCATTTATATTTACATACACAGGTATAGTACAGCCCAAAAAAAGTAATGAGAAAAAAAATCTATTAAGAGAGAATGACATTCTTACTCCAGGTTATATTAGGAACAAGCAACACAATAATTTGTTCCTCATGGCAGAGATTCCACCACAAAATACAATTGAAGTGAAAACAGGGCCATTCTCTTGCTACACAAGTAAGATTAGGCTGCCACCAAAAAGATGCTTGCTCCAGAGAATATGGATATAATTAATAAGGAGAATACAAGCAAAGTAATGAAAATATATTTTCATCTCCCGGAGATTGAGACAGCTGCAACACAGAGGAGAGATTACAACAGTGAATTCTGCGTTAGAATTCTGTTAGAAAGTCAAGTACCAAGCGCTTATTTCAGGGGGTTGTCTAGACAAGGATGAAAGATGCATTTTACAAAACAGTTAGCTAACACATTTTAAGTACAACTTTTTAAACCTATAGTGCAAACAGAGAAAATTGTATTTTAAAATATGAAAGACAGTGGCAGCGAACCCTAGAATTTTAGAATGTATTAGTTAAAACACATTGGCTAACATGTTTTTAAAATACACCTTTTATCCTAGTCTAGGTAAGCCATAAGAGGGCAACTACAGTTGGGCTAGTACTGGCCTGCAATAAACATTAATAAACTGGGAGGACTATCATCTTGGAATTATTATATTAAAATCAAATAGGAGAGTCCAATGGCACAATACATCTTATGTGTGTTTGTTAGTAATGTTTTTTGTTCCTTTCCTTCTGCCAAAAGATGGCAGCCTAATCTTTTGTAAATAGATGTATTCAGGGCCTGGAGTTCTATGTGGTATCTTAGAACTAATACTGTTCTTCAGTCTGTAAAATGACTCATGACAATGATCTAATCAAAAAGTAGATGAAGGCATAATTTAGATGTAGAAGAGTACAGTATATATTTGCTCTAAAAAATAAATGACATGCAGCCATTAAATGTGGCTATGATTTACTGATTGTGTTACATCTGTTCTTTTCAATATGAAACCTATCCATTAAGAGGCAAAAACTTTAAATGTGTGCATGTAGCAGAAATGTTTTACTATATGTATGTTGTGCGTATTTGTTAACTCTTTCAAAGGAATCTAACGCTGGAGATATGATTTACCATTCACAAAAGTGGTTCTGGTTTATTATTAGATTATACTCCTTCTGGTGCTTTATTACTTTCTCTAATTATTTTCTCAGTTATTTTTCACTGATTGACTATCACAAAAACTAATCAATCTTAGTTGTTTACTATTTTGTCTTATCTTGCTGCTGTTGGTTATCTTCATGCAATATGGGTCACAAATTGATCTGCAGAGCTTAGAGCAGCAAACTTTTTATTATGGGTAGTAAATTGTGCAAGTGTTCCCTCTCTGCACACAAACACTCTCTCTCACTTTTCCCCACCTAAGGTACCTTATTAGTCAAACAGAAATTCTGCAGTTCCAAGGAATGTTTACAGAGGTATACTCTGGCAAGAAGGAGGTGACACAGGCAGCTTTCTGTCCTAAGATGAAAAACAGCTCAGTGTTATGCATTCATTAAACTATTCAGAAAAAAACTCTTAAGTACTGATTGATGGTCATAAAAATGAATCAGTCTTACTATTTACTTTCCAGGTTTCAGAGTAACAGCCGTGTTAGTCTGTATTCGCAAAAAGAAAAGGAGTACTTGTGGCACCTTAGAGACTAACCAATTTATTTGAGCATGAGCTTTCGTGAGCTACAGCTCACTTCATCGGATGCATACCGTGGAAACTGCAGCAGACTTTATATATACACAGAGAATATGAAACAATACCTCCTCCCACCCCACTGTCCTGCTGGTAATAGCTTATCTAAAGTGATCATCAGGTGGGCACCAGCAGGAGAGTGAATTTGTGTGGGGGGGTGGAGGGTGAGAAAACCTGGATTTGTGCTGGAAATGGCCCACCTGATGATCACTTTAGATAAGCTATTACCAGCAGGACAGTGGGGTGGGAGGAGGTATTGTTTCATATTCTCTGTGTATATATAAAGTCTGCTGCAGTTTCCACGGTATGCATCCGATGAAGTGAGCTGTAGCTCACGAAAGCTCATGCTCAAATAAATTGGTTAGTCTCTAAGGTGCCACAAGTACTCCTTTTCTATTTACTTTCCAGTTGCTCCCATCCTTACTGGTTTTCCTGATATCCTGAATCAAAAAGGGTCTTTTCCCTCTGCCTCCCATTCTGTCCTTTTAAAGGGCAGCAGCAGTAGGGTGACCATACATCACGTTTTCGCCAGGACAATCCCTTTTTAAAGCCCTGTCCTGGCCATCCTGACTTTTAATGCAAAAGTTGGCATTTTTCCCGTTTGCTCAGTTGGCAAGAGCAAATGGCACAAATGCCCACTTTTGTCAAAAAAGTGAGTTGCAGAGGAACAGATGAGGTGGGGAAGGGAGATACCAGTTCTGCGCAGGGGGGAAGGCAGGGCTCTGGCAGGGGGCATTTAGGGCTCAAGCGAGCAGCTATGCCAATATCAGCCCCGCGTGGGGGCAGGGACAGGGTTCAGTATATGGAGGGCTTTAGCAAGCAGCAACACCAGCACGGCAGGGCTCAGGCAGGGGGCAGGCAGGGCTCGAGCAAGCAATGACACTAGCATCAGCCCTGCATGGGGGGCAGGCAGGCAGGGCTGGAACGAGCAGCAACATCAGCGTCAACCTCGCACAGGGAGGGCAGATAAGGCTCAAGTGAGCAGCAACGCCAGCCTTGCGTGGGGGGCAAGCAGGACTCAGGCGAGCAACAACGCCAGCTCCATGTGGGGAGGAGGGCTCAGGCGAGCAGCTCGGGCCAATCCCCCATGATGTCCTATTTTCCCTTTGGGCAATGTGGTCACCCTAAGCAGCAAGAACCTACTGCGTACCCTCTCTATGGGTAACAGTCTCACAAACATGAAAAAGGAAGGCAAAATAGTAGGTGAACACTATATGAGGAGCTAGATGATAGCAGGAAGAGAAGAAATGGTTATTCAGTCTGTGACGTAACTGTGGTTCTTTGAGATGTGCATCCCTAAGGCTGCTCCATTCTAGGTGCCCTTGTTCCCCCCGCATCTTTGAGCGGGGATTGCTCATGGCAGTGTCTGTTTGGCCTGCATATGCATCTTACTCAGTCTCATACTCTGTGCTGTTATATAGCACTGTGAGGGTGAACTGCTCTCAGTTCCTTCTCTACCACATGGCTCCACAGCAGAGAACTCCAAAGCTGAGAGGAAGGAGAACAGGTAGTGAAGCTCCCAAAGGGACACACATCTCAAAGAACCAGTTACTACACTACGTGAGTAAGCATTTCTTCTTCTGCAAGTAGTGTCCCAAAGGGTGCTCCATTCTAGGGGTATGTCTACACTACAAAATTAGGTCGAATTTATAGAAGTCGATTTTTAGGAAGCGATTTTATACAGTCTATTGTGTGTGTGTCCACTAAGCGCATTAAGTCGGCAGAGTGCATCCACAGTACCGTGGCTAGTGTCAACTTTCGGAGCATTGCACTGTGGGTAGCTATCCCACAGTTCCCGCAGTCTCCGCTGCTCACTGGAATTCTGGGTTGAGCTCCCAGTGCCTGATGGGGCAAAAACATTGTCGCGAGTGGTTTTGGGTACATGTCGTCAGTCGCCCCTCCCTCCGTGAAAGCAATGGCAGACAATCGTTTCACGCCTTTTTTCCGTGCAGACGCCATACTGCTTTCAGCAGACGGTGCAGTAGGACTGCTAACCATCATCATCCAACCACCACTTCTGCTGCAACTCTGCTCTCCTGGAGCAATGAATCCACCTCGCAGGTCATCTCATCGTTCTTTATAAATATCTATTCTCGTGGCATCCCGTCATCATCGACCACTTCCGCTGCAACTCTGCTCTCCTGCTCTTGTCTCGATAGTGAATTTCTCCATGTTGTCTGTCATGGGCTCCCGGGTACGTGTGTTCTTCCTCGGGAAATGTGCGC